TCATAAACCAGAAATAAAGTGACACCAAAGATTATGCAAGGCTTTATAGGTGGAGCTAGCTTGATAAAATTTTGCATAAAAGCCAATAGTTAAGCTATACATTTTACAATTCGGTAACCAAGTTAATTATAGCTATTCATCTCTAGATTAGCAACTAACCTATGCGAAACATGTGAAATATCATTTAGTAACAGGCAATAGTAACCATTGCCGATGTAGTAATGTGAGTATCATCATCATAGCCATCAAGTTTTCATTAAGTTACTCTATGTTGCCGCTGCTCAGTCAAGTTCTCACTATCCGGGAGAGACGGCGATTCGAATCGATTCCTACCCAGCTGGGGAATTATTCCTAACACAAACCCAGACATACCTACGCCAAGGTAGTCTTAGGTCACCTTTGGTACAACTCAGGAACTAAATTCGCGGGCCTGAGCAGCGCCGCACTCTCAGGGAATCCACTCTGCCAGGACATCAATCTGCCCTCGGACTTACGCCAATGGCTCCCCGCACATCCTTACTACCACCAGAGTGCGCACTTTCACTTCCCGGCTTCTGTCCTGAGTTGTGCTACTCGGCTTCGCAGTCGGAACGAGTTATCCGGTCAACTAAGTGATATGCATGCGTTCAACATGACATGAGGACATACAGCGAATCGGTCCTTAACCGACACAGACGGGGATAAATAGGCACCAAGACCTTCATGCCTTGTGCTTCTCTATCACAATCCCGTCCGGTCTCCTTTTTATTCATCAACACATGGTTATTTCCACAATAGCAAATATAGCCAACCGTGCTTTGGTATCCATCTATATCTCGCAGGTGATAGGAAATCACCCGACTTCTACCGGTCTAAGCATTGCTAAGCATACATTCGATCTTGAACCTACATAGGGTTCAAGGTATATTTCTGGACAAGGTAGTTCTATGCATCGAGTGGTTCCAATCAACTCTTATGAAACAGATATAGTTGAATGGTTTATCTTAACCTGTGTTAACTTATGTCAGGTAAATGAATGGGAAATGTTTAGTTGTCGTTTAGCAACAAGAATAACCCTCTTGTCTCCTGTTACAACTTGATTTTCAAATATGGTCATGACACGTTCTAGCAACAAATGTCAAATATGTTTTATCATTTCTTGCAACAGAGACTACAGAAATCTAGATGATTTTGATATTCGTTTTTAACTTAGATTTAGTCGATGCAGAGATGTATTGTTGCTTTATGTAATTCTGTTCTATTAACAAATGTCACATTGACTTTGTTCAGCTAGGAGGACCTAGAGGTTGTGAGATGTTGGATAATGTCAACAGCAAGATCAATCAAAATACTCACCGATGATATTTTGTTTGAGTAATTGGAGTTGAGGCATTTTGTAGTGAACTAATTAGATTGTGCAAGCCAACATATGACTTGTGGCTGCCATTTTGACCAAGCTAGCTAGGTTGCCTATGTACCTTTTCTTTTGTAAAGATGTACAACTGTACAAGTACAAATGTTGGCTTCAATGAAAACTTGAGATATGTTTATCTAACCACGTGCGATTGATAAGTAACGTGAATTGCTATGGATTATTATGCGGTTAATGAGTAATGTGGATTGGTGTGGATGTTGAATAGGCTTGAAATTATATGGTAAATGTAAATTAATTATATATAATCATGTCAGTTCACAGCGATGGATTGTTGGTCGGTAAAAAGATATATACCATCAAACCATTGGTCGATAAAGATTGTAACAGATCAAGTGGCGGTATAACTAAGAGCATCCAACTATCGGTCGCTATAAATATGTCGGTCGGTATAACTTTATACCGACGCCACTTACACCGTCTAATGACGTCGGTTGGTAAAGGGCTATACCGACCGATGATCGGTCGCTATAACGACTTATAACGACTCTTCTATACTCGCTGTAAAAAGTGTGTGGTACAGTGACCTTATATAATAAAAGGGAAGGAGCTGAGCTCGATGTGTGTGCAGTGGCCACAAGCGCTACCCAGGCTAGGGCGTCGACGGCGGCGGCCCAACGGCCACGCATGCGGCTCGTCGTCGTCCTCGACCTCGCCGTCAGCAGCAAGTGCAGCGGCGCTGCCACTGCCGCAGCCACGCTGCACCACAGCTCCCCGTGCAGCAGGGCGCTCAGCTCCGCGGCCGCCGCGTCGGTCAGCACCACGCACGGGAACAGCCACGTTTTTAAAGATTTAGCAGAATTCTTCCTCCTATACCTCATTGTAAGAATTATTTCATCCAAAAAATAAATTGTTCTGATCAAATAAAAACATGTAGCTGTAGCGTTCTACCAATATAGGTAAAAGAAGAAGAAGAAAGGCAGAACAGTGATTAAAATTTACTTTCCTCACCATAATAAATAAAAATTTACTTTAGATATTTTTTCCCTTGCGAAAAAAAACTGTACTTTTTTTATTAGGTTAAAAAACCTTCTTGGTCGCTTCTTAATGGCCCGTCGGCCAGTCAGCAAGTAAGTGGGCAGTGGGTTTGAACCATGAATATAAAGAAGAAAAAACAAAACAAAACAAAAGATACAGCATTGTTGGGCTGCATTGCTTGCTGGGCCGTGGGCCGTATTGAAGAAGCTGGAAATGGACACGCTTGTAGCGGCAACTGCCTTTTCTTTTTATTTCGAAGATGATGGAATAAATTGATATATATAGATGATATAAGGCATCCATTCAAAGTGACTACTACAAACAGAGAGCCGAAGCTATGACAGGTTGAAAACTCGTACACGGTAGATCTAAACAGGGTGTCCATTTTATTTCAGGAAAAAAGCGGGAAAAAGAAACAACCAACAGAGAACTCGGTGGTGGTTTGGAGCTGTTGGATAGTCCGAAGAACAAGACCTCTGAATGTTGACAGCGTTTGGACAAACCAGTGGTGGCGTGCGTGTGCAGTGCAGTGCATGCATCGGATTCGGCGAGACGAGTCGAGGCAAGGCGACGTTCTCTAGGCTCAGAATCCGTTGGGATCGGTATCGGAATCCCACCGGCCACCGCTTTGCCTCTTGCTGCTGGCATTGCTTTGCTTTGCTTCTTCTCGAGGGCTTCGCCTAAGCCTGCTCTGTCCGCCACCATTGCCAAAAGCAGCTACCTCATCAGTCATCACCACCTCATCTGCTGCTGGTATGGTACTGGTACCTTGCCCTCGCCCATGCCTGATCTTCTATCGCGTCCGTCTTGTAATATTCAAAGATAATGTTTAAAATACCACAAAAAAATGAGGCGACAAAGACGGTTTTACGTTAAATAGTTGTACAAATTTAATAGTTATTACTTTCTTCGTCATGAAGTATAAGATACTATACTAATTTTGATCAAATTTATAGAAAAAATACATAAAATCTTAAATTAGCTTTATTGGATACATTATGAAATACATTTTTATAGTACATCTTTTGATGTGGTAGATGTTAATACTCTTCTTTATAAATGTGATCAAACTTAAATTAGTTTGACTTAGGACAAATTTACATCCCTTATATTTTAGGGCTGAGGGAGTATATTATTAGTTTATTACTTAGAGAGAATTTTTTATATGACACTATAAAGATAAAGTATTTTATTCTTGGCCCTTCAGAGTTAGAATTCTTTTTTTATCAAACACTAGGTATATTTTTGGCATTCAGAATGACATCACCACTATAATTTAGGAGAGGGAGTTTAATCAGCTACGCAAAAGAAACTAATCAAGTAGAAGACATGCATTGGAACCTGACGGGTGAATGGGCGTTAGATAAAAGATTGTGTAGTATCCCCCACCTTTGGTTGTATCTATTTAGATGAAAAGGACATAGACAAGTACTACTAGTAAATACTCCTACTTAGCACTAAAGAAGAATCAAGAACGGATTAGATGCAATGGTATGGACCAGATCCTGCGCGTCTTTGCCAAGTGGTCTCCCGGTAGAATCGGAATCAGAACGGGAATCCCAGCACTAACTAGCTTTGCCTCTCTTTTTCAGCTTCCGCGCTCTCCTTTTGCTGCAACTAGTAGTATGTCACTTTGCTTCTTCTGGAGGGCTCCCGACATCTCCCCTGTCCGGCCTCCTCCGCCACCATTGCCGGCCAACGGCAGCTCCACATATCAATCACCGCAAGAAACCAAGCAAGAATCCCTCCCTCTGCTGACATACATGGTACTAAGATCTTCACTCACCCATCATCGCTTCATTCTTAAGTTGTATGCATAATATATGGATTTCTAACTTGCATGTATTTGGTTCATTTCCTGCTCGGTCGCTAGTAGCTCCTCGGATATTCTTTCAAGTTTCAAGCACGTACGTATAATGAATCATTTTTCCGTTTCTTCTTCTTCTTTTTCATTTCGGCTCTGTTCCCCTTTTGTATTGTATATTTAACTTGTATACAAGGTAGTGTATATAAAATAAAATCACATTACTGCGTCTGTTGGATGATTCTTTTTACATATTATCAGAAGATGGCATTAAGTTTTTTTTTTTTTTTTGCGACTGCCATTAAGTTTGTTCTGCAGATCACATCCTACATAAATAAACAATGAAAAAAATAACAGAAAAAAACATTTCTAGATGGATTACACCAGCTCACCTATGCGTATGTGGCACTTGAAGAAGCCTCTAGCTTGTAGTAGTACAGACAGCACGCATCGTCGGCGTCAATCTCTTTCTTTCTTTTCTTTCCTTCAGTTTTTTTATTTATGAAAAGAAAGGAAAAGCAAATTTTGAACCTGCCAGCTCCTGAATCCTCATACTAGAAAGATTGGACGATTGTGCTTGTTTGCTTCCAATCAAATGAAACAAAGCTGCTTATAATAATTCTTGGTTACTTCCAATGTGCACCTTGTCTGAATGTCTTCCCCTGTTTATTTTATTTATTGCCCACACACTCACATCTCACATGTTCTGAAACAGGTTTAATTTCGCATTCAGTCGATCTCAGTAATTGAGCTTCTTTTCTACTTACCCACCCATATTGTTGTTCATCATCCACACGCTGCTCCCGGATGGCAGATGCGATCAAGGTATGTAATCCATCATCAACTGGTAACTCTGACGATCCGGTGCTCTGACGACGATACCCTCCCTGTACTTGTGAATGCTGCCCCATCAGTCGTACCACTCATTGCTATCTAGTTTCTTATGTCTCACACACAAACGTCATCTGGATTCAGAACTTGCTAATGGGTTGTTGGATGCAGAGTCAAGTTGGGTCGTTTCCTCCTGGGAAAAAGATAACGGTTGTGTTTGTACTAGGTATGGTATGACTGTGTATCAATTTTTGTTTTTGTTTTTGCGAGTATGCTTGTGTATCATTTGTGCAAACACTGAACAACTGTATATGTAGCGTGCATAGTACTTTACCACAGGCATGATCTGAACTTTTTTGCGCAGGCGGCCCAGGCAGTGGCAAGGGCACTCAGTGTTCCAACATTGTCAAACAGTTTGGCTTCACCCATCTGAGCGCTGGCGACCTTCTGCGTGAAGAAGCTAAATCCGATACTGAACAAGGGTAACATCTTTTCTTCCTGAGTTCCTGCAAAGCAGCTTGCTCTGCACATAGGAGTATATTTTTTTAGATAATGGAACAAAGTTCCAGCCTCTACCATGCACATAGGAGTATATATGTTGTGGGCACCATTCAGACATATCCAAAAAAAAATTTCTTCTCTCAGTACGATGGTAAAGAATCTGATGCATGAAGGAAAACTTGTGCCGCCCGAGCTCATCGTCAAGCTTCTGCTGAAGGCCATGCTTCAGAGTGGAAATGATAAGTTCCTTGTCGATGGATTTCCTCGAAACGAAGAGAACCGCCAAGCATATGAGAGTGTTGTAAGCCTGTTTTTTTTTCCTGATGTCTGACTCTGAACTACCTATCGGCATATATTTATTTTGATTCTAATAAAAGGAGCAATTGCGCATCAGTCATATGTATGATTTCATCATGGTAGAAATAGCGCTATAATTTTGTCATGTCTTGTTGTTACCAGATTGGGATTGAGCCCGAGTTCGTTCTGTTCATCGACTGCCCAAAGGAAGAGTTGGAGCGGCGCATTCTACACCGGAATCAGGTTTCACTCTTGTGATTTCTCAGCACAAGCTTGTAACTTTTGTCTCATTTGCTTAATTCATTGCTTTGTTTTCTTTTGGGTTGTCTACATACAGGGAAGAGATGACGACAACATCGACACTATTAGGAAACGGTTCGAACTTTTCCAGGAGTCAACTCTACCTGTTGTTCAGTACTATGAGAAAAGGGGAAAGCTTCGAAAGGTAACTTGCAGGGTTTTTTATATGAAAACGTGCACTGTGCCAAAATTTGCAATTTTGTAGAGTAAATATGAACTTTAACTAACCTAATCTCACTGAATTAAATTTTCCATGCATGTTTCACATATCCCTTTGTACTCTATGCAGGTCGATGGCGCCAAATCCCCTGATGCAGTTTTTGAAGATGTGAAGGCCATATTCGCTCAACTGAACACTCAGGTGCACTCACATTCATGCTCTCTCTTCCAATTGCTAAGTTCAGGAAACATGGCAGGCATGGCTAAATGATGATGTTCGTCCTTGTGGTGCATCCTCTTGGATCGATGATACTATATCTATAAGCTGCCTTATCCTGTATTTTTCGTCTCACTAGGCAAACCAAGGTAGCAGTGTGAGCAGCAGAGTACAGAGCAATCCACTGAAGCGTTTCGTCGACCTGGTCTGTGGTAAGTTTTGAGATTGATGAGATCACCATCACTAATTCAATTCGTCGTCGAGTATTTGGCATCGACCTTGTCACAAACTAAACTCATGATGAACGTCTTCTGATTGACTGTTTTCAGGCTGCTTTGGGACGCAGGAGGCGAGAAGCTAAGTGATGAGATGGTAGGACTGAATCCTTGTGTGGTACTGGTACATAGTGGTGTGTGTACATCCTTGCTCAGTCCTCAAGGCTGAAGCAACAACATACGTCCAAAAAGGATTCAGAAAACACTTGCTGTGTGTGGTTGAAGTGTGTGCATATCTGAGTGTGCGTGTTGTGTAGATTCAGTCTGTCGTGTTTGTTGTGATCCATCCATTGCCAATTTGCCATTTGCAGAGTGTGTGTATGTAGAAAGAAACTAGTCGAAAAGAAACAGAGAATGGCCCTGTCCAGGTGCACCTGCAACACACAGCTTGTATTTGTAATTTTAAGTGCAGGAGATGGATATGATATGTGCAGATCATGGACGCGGACTCCTGGATTGCCGCCTGCTTTGGGAGTCGCGCGTCGCTGGCCGCCCAGGGTTCCTAGCAGGCGTTACCGGCAAGCTTCTTTAGTCGCAACACTAGTTTCCTAAGTGCGCCTTTACAGCTCCTGGTAGCCGGTGCATTGTGTCTGTGTCTTTCTTGGTAGCTAACGGTATCTCACCGTGTTGCAGTCCCGGGCGTGGTACGAATCTTATTTCTCTTTATTAACGAAGCACGCACCAATGCAGGCTTTCGAAAAACAAAGAAATATGCGCTGATCATTCAGTTTGCTATGCTGCATCTGAGCTAAGCTTGTGAGGGCTTGTTCATATGGCTAATGGCTTTCTTCTCTGAAGCTGTTGATGGCCGGCCTGGGCATTGTGGCTACACTTTCAACGTATGTCTGAAAAACAATTAAAACATTTAAAGCATATATTTGCAACATGCTTCTCAAACACTTGAAAAAAATACCTAAAAACACTTAAAAACATTTGCAAACATACGCAACATCTAGATAAAACACATGCAACATATGTGCGAAACATATGCAACATCCTAATAAACACATTTGTAACATACGTCTTATAACATAGATGAAACATTAGTAACAGACCTCTACAACATACGTGTACAACCATGCATTGCAACATATGCAACATCTTAATCTACTTTTGCAACATCGATATAAAACACCTACAACATATCTCTAAAACACCTGAAACACTCAAAATATACGTTTGCAACATGCTCTTTCAGCGTAAACATCTTCTTGCTGCTCGCAAATGGAGGCTCGTCGGCGTGTGGAGGTCACCGGTGTGCTCGTTGGTGGCGCCGAGCTCGCCGACAACGAGGAGCTAGGCGGCGGCGCACAGAGGGCGGGTGTGGGGGCAGCACGAGCGCGCGTAGAGGGCGGATGGTTGGCACATGGAGATCACCGGTGTCTTGCCGGCAGCACAGAGTTGGGTGGCGCAGCACAGAGGGACGGGTGGGGGTGGCACGGGCGGTGGTGATGCAGAGGGCGGGTGGTCGCACCTCTAGGTACCTCCTCGTCTTCACGAGCAGTTAGGCCTAAGGATCTGGCTGTGTTGCTTGGGGAAACAAAGCAAAGTAGAGAAAGGGAAACAGAGCAGAGAAGAACGTTAACGCATTGGAAACAGATAAGAAAGTAATGAGTGGATGAGAATAAGAGACATGGAAATGAGCAGGGAATTAAAAAAAAGACAAAGTTGTAGTGCACGTCATGCCACACGTTCGTCCGGAGGAAGTCGCTGTACGTCGCATTACCGTTGTTTATTTAGTTTCAACCCAATTAGCATCATGGTTCCACTTTTACTTGTCATTTACTCCTAGTGTTCCAAACTATCCGTCACTTCAGTTCTGTTCAAATCAATTTTCTCAAATTTTTACTAGTTTTTTTAAATAGTTTAATATCTACAATACCAGATACCAATACACCATTACCAAGACATATTTTATGGCAAAATTAATGGAACTAATTTGATGCCATAGAGGTCTGGTGCAATTTTATATAGTCCTGTTAAAAGTTAGAAAAGTTTAAATGAACCTATAATTTTGAATGGGTGGAGTAGCAATTATTTTTTAATCCAACATTTGACACTAATGCGCGTGAATCGGCCTCCTGTTTGGATATACCGATGAACCGTCACCTTGTTTATTACATGTTTCACATTAATTAATACACACTACTACTAGTATTACTTGTGCTAGCTACACTAGTTCTCGAAGCTTAGCCAGCCCTACAAATAAATCTGCACTCAGTCACTCACCAACATATCCATGCTACTATACAATGGCAGCTCGATCGATGGTCATGCCCTTCCTCACCACCGCACTCGCCGTGGTGCTCCTCGGTGTCCGGGGGGGACAGCCCAGTGGCTTGCTAATTCCCTATTAGGTAGTTAGATACATGGACATTATTAGAACAATTGGGGGGCGGGGCTGGCCTCCCCAATGGCCCCCCTTAGGCTTACTTTGGCAGCAGGGGCCAATTAGCCCAGGGATGATTACCCCTGATGTGGATTTTTTGGGACTTCTTCCCGCCTCTTCCCAGGGCTGGTAACCACAGTGGGGGAACTTTCCACGTCTTCCTTTGGCAATAGGTTGACGGCACAGGGGAAACAAGAATAGCATTATCGCAGGAGTACTAGACAACTGAACGTCCACATGCCGACGTGCTGGTTGGCAACAGGCCTACTGAACCGAACTGAACTGATAATACACAACTTCGGCAACAGGATGTCTATCGCAGAGAAAACACGAACCTGCTGTCTTGTAGCCAAAGTACAGCAGCACTTCTACCAAAGTACTAGTACTTCTGCCAAAGTATGGCAACAAAATTGAAAACAAAGTCTTGAAAAATCAAGAAAAATCTGAATTTCTTAAATAATATAATGAAATCACCAAAGATCAATACCAACCACATCATTTTCATGATCATAATGCATGGAAAATCACAAGACCAAAATTATTTGACAAATTCAATAGATAGAAAATTTAATTCAAGTGCCAAATTCAACCCACTACCAAACTGATCCAATACATAGAAGCCTGAAATGTCCAACATGCACTACCAAAATTGACCACACTTCTCTTGTCTCAAATCATGCATTGCCTCCACCAAACTCTCTCTCAATTAACACACACAAAAAAATGAACTTTTGTGAGGCCCTACAAGATAAGGTCAAAATACGAGCATATAGGTAAAAGAAGCATGTTATCACCATGTTTACAACTAGCTATCGAGTTCAGGCTAAGAATTTTTTGCACAAAGTGCAGAAAGATAACCACACCAAAACCATTTCCTAATACCAAAGCAACAAAGAGTATCGATGGCATGCAAAGATTGGCAAGTGCAAGTCACAGTACAATTGTGTAGTCATCAGCCCATATGGCTCAAGGTTATCTATCCCTATGAACAAATTTTATGTACACGACATCCGAAAAGTGTAATATGAGTCATGCCTTGTGAATTTTTAAGATCCCTCAAGATAGGGGATCAGACATGCAATCCTCTTGAAAGGAGAGGAGCCTGATAAGGTTAGCTGTTATGGTCAAGAATCGAACCCCTGCCATTTTTGCACTTCGACAATGTTCTGATTTTACCATTCCCAAGGTGATGATTTGGTTCAAGGAAATGAGTTGGTTGTTTCTGAGGTAACAACCCCTCCTACTACTGGAACCAGACGAAGGAGAAAGAAGTCCTTGGTATGGGAGCACTTCACTATTGAAGCCGCTGCTGGTAGGGCCACAAGGGCTTGCGTAAAGCTCGCAAGCAAACCTTTGCTTACAGCTCTGGTTCAAAGATTGCTGGGACTAGTCATCGCAAGAGGCACATCACCTTGGGCTCTTGTCCTAAGATAAAGAATCAAGAGCAGAGGCTGGCACTGCCTTCAACTGGAGGGACTGGCAATGATGGTGAAGTTTCATATACAATTATTTCAGAGGAATGGTTAGCATATACAATTATTTCAGAGTGAAGTTTCATATATGCCCTAAAATAAAAGATAGGGGCTGTCATAAGCTAACAACCTAGAGCTATTGTGAGGAAAGCTTGGATTTTTCTCATACCATCTCATGAAAAAAACTTGCATTAATCTTTTTAACTTATTACTCAAAAATGCTAAAGAGAACAATACGGTGAGAGTAACACTTCAAGATACAGCCATACAGATAGACTAGAAAGCAGGAAAAAAAACTGCTAGTGAGAAATCCAGAAGAGTATCCAGGAAATTTCATTAGTTCTAATGCAACAGGAATCATTGTACACCAGCACAGAGCAAAAAACAACAGATGCAGCAGGCAACAGTGGGGGGACTAACCTGACACCAGTCACCCCGTCCCAAGATGCAGCAGAAAATCACTCCTACAAAAGCATCATGCCCTTATTAGTCGGAGAGATTTAGCAAGCACTTGTCTGAGATTTAGCACGCAAATTATTAGATTGAGTGATTGACGAGTATGGACGCCACTGGAATTAAAAAACAAACTCTGCTTAAGATCCCACGCTGCCATCAAATTAAAAAGGCACACTCTGCTTAAGATCTCGTGCCGAGTAGGCAAGACCTATCATGCATTCATACAGAGACGACCTGCTTCAGATAATACTATCTGTCATATTTTAGACAGGATGGTGCCAGGTTAAAGGCATCTGTCCTACATTGCAACCTGGTTAATGTTCATGTACCCCCCAACGGTAACTGGCTAGAGTCGTATGCACTTGAGAACTGAGCTATGTGCACCTCAATGCAAGGTTTTGAGCCTAGCTTCATCAGAAAAGCAGAAACGCTGCACCAGTAGGTGCTAAAGAAAATCATAACCAAGAGTCGTAATGAATTTGCTGACTTTGGCAACCGATCTAATTACGCTTCCAAATTAGTACCAGCACACCAGTGTCAGCGAGAGTAAAAGTTAACAACCATGGCACAAAGTAGACAATAATCCTTCAGATCCTTCTGATTCAGAACCTAGGTACGGTGTTGGCTTTGCAGGTTTAATTACGCTACTCCCTCTTTTGCAAACCATAGGGTCAAATTTGCCTAGCTCAGTTTTTAGGAAAAATATATTAACATCTAGAGCACCAAATAAATGCACCACTATCAAGACATAATTAATGGTGAAAATCAATATTATAGATGCAAGTGTATTTTTTCAATAAACTTTGTTAAATATAAAGAAGTTTAATTTAGGACAAACCTAAAGTGGTCAGGACTCAGGAACATCTATTCAAGTAACTCTGAGTCAGGAGTGAATACAATTTAAATAGCAACATATATTTTGTTGCAAGAGCTCCAGCAGGCAAGAAAGAACATCCAATGTATAATTCAACAGCTCCATGCTAGGCTAATTTATCTACTAGGCTAATATATTATATCTCTCCTCCCCAAAGCAATTACAATCTCCCCTCCACAGCAACTGCCATCTCATGCTGACACTAACCAATCCCGCAATACAAATGCACAAAAATAAAATACCCAGAGAGGGAGTATGCGGAGTCCTTACCGAAGCAACAGCAGAAAGCACAGAGGTGACGAGCGCCCTCAGATCTCGCACCCTGCTCCCTAGAGCGCCCAGCTTCCGGTTCCCATGTCGTGTTGCTCGGCGCCGAAACCCTAATCAGCCACGGCCACCTCACCGCCTAGTGGGACAGCCAGTGAGAAGAGCGGATCAAGAATCCGAAACCCCTAGCGGGAGGCACAGAGATGTAGGATGAGGCGGTCTCACCGCTGGCGGACCGCGATGAGAAGGCGGAGTGGCAGCGGTGACGGACTGCCGGGCGGCGGCGTCGACGGGATGCCGGGCGGCGACGGCCTCGCGACGTGAAGACTGCAAGCGAAGGAGGAAGCTACGCTGCTCGCGAGCGTCGCCACGGAAACCCTCCCGCCTCACGAAGTCGTGGATTCCTTCCGCGTGGAAAAAAGAAGGGAAGCGGGCTGCGACCCTCGGGTGGGTGGGCTGCCAAAGTGCGCAAAAATTTGGCCCGGGAGAGATTGGCACGGGGGAGACTAGCCCTGGGGAAACGGGCTGCCAAAGTAGCCCTTAGTTCTAAGGCCAAGTTCCAGGCAAGCCAGCAGGACAGAAGGCCAATTAGGAGGAAGCTAATGAGACGAGCAGCAGCAGGCCAGCAGCCGTATTCCGTCGTCTCCCCGTCCCCGATCATTTGGCTTCTCGGCTCCCGCAGCACGGCAGCAGCACAGTAAGAGCAGCGGAGCAGGAAGCGGAAGGCCGGAGGCAGGACATCGACTCGCCAAACGCCGCGTCGCGCCGTCACCGCCGGACGCCGCCGGAAGCTGCCTCCTGCCGATGCCCAGAGTCGAGTCTCCCGTCTCCGTGACGCCCAGCTGCCAGGCATGCCGCCGCCGCCGGTGTCTGCCATGACCAACAACGGCGACCTGGTGGCGACGGCGTGCGAGAAAGCCAAGGGCCACGAGGCGCACCACTACCTACGGGCTCGGGCTGACGGCGTGGTTTCAGGCTATTGATATTTTCGATATATTCTTTTTATCCATAAATGCCGATAAAAAAATATTTATTTTTTCGTACATATTTTATTTAAATTTATTTAAATTTACTTAAATTCAAATTAAATTTTATCTGAATTTGGTCCGATATATCCTGTTTATCCTCTTTATCTGTGACTTCCGATAAATTTTAATTTTCGAAAATGAAAACCCCGGACAGCGCTGACCAAGGAATTCTGCGAGACGATGCTCCGGTCGGACAACCGGAGCGCGTTGGCGAACGACACGCGGGAGCTGGCGCTGGTGGCCATGGACCTGGCCAGCACCGCCGCCGCGAGCGCGGGCGCCAAGGCGCGCAGCGCACTCCGTCGTCGGGGGGGGAGGGACACGGAGTACTCGCCCGGTACTGCGTGATGGACTACGGCACGGTGCGACTTCCAGGCGCTGTTCGACTACCTGGAGTGCGCCGGCAGGGTGATGGACGCGGCGGGGGACTGCTGGCAGCGCGTGTCGTACGAGGATGGCGCTCTGAAGCGGGCGCTGTGGAACGACGCCGTCGACGTCGCCAACCGCGCCAACCTCGCCCAAGCCTTGATCGAGCAGATGGTCGACTTCCCGGACGATCATGAATATCGCCATGTTAATGTATAAGAGAGTTATATCAACTTTTCTCACATCAACAGTTTTGGTATGCAAATCAAATCAAATAATACGAATATAGTGCTGATCGCCTTGGTCGAGCAGATGGTCGATTTCCCGGACGATCATGAATAATAATGGCTCATCATGTTAACGTATAAGAGAATTATCAACTTTTCTCACATCAACTTGAGTTTTGGTATGCAAATCAAATCAAATAATACGAATATAGTGCTGATCGGAGGTACTACTTTGTTCAGTTTGCATGAATGGCTGGGATTTTGGACGGGGAAGAAGCAGACCACCAGGGACGTGAGGTGGCCCAGCTGTGTTTGAGCCCACGTACCGATTAGGCCCGTGAACTAACAAAGCATATCGGGCCAACCGGGATTTTGGAACGGAGGCAGTACTTTGTTCAGTTTGCATGAATGGCTGGGATTTTGGATGGGGAAGAAGCAGACCTATAAGAGCCCACGTATCGATTAGGCCCGTGAACTAACAAAGCAGATTGGGCCGACCGGCCGAGAAAGATGTAACCTGGTCCTTATCAAGGTACCAGTAGCGAAAAGAGCTTTTTAGCTGTATCACCCTAGAAAAAATACATCTTTTTTGTATGGTCCTTTTTTTTCCTAACTTACCGGTATGGTCCCCAAACAAAATTTGATTCCTTCTGTGGCCTTCCGTGGTATTCAGTTTGTTTCCCAACTTATAGATACGCGAAATGTCTAAATTGCCCTTCTGTTTATTCTGCCTGAGACAGAGGCAAAACTCCCGACCGAGACGTGATAAAAAAAACTCCCGACCGAGACCGAGCGAAGCGAGCGAAATGGGAGGGCGCCGCCACCGGATCTCTCCCGCCGATCCAGCCTCCCGGACCCACTCCCACCACCCTCGGCGTCAGTGGTGTAGGCGGGCGGCGCCGGCTGCTGGTGGAGTGGAGCTGGGTCGGGCCGTCCGGGGCTACCAAGCCACAGCGGCCTGCCACCTCCAATGAAGGGCCAGCCCGGCGCGGCACTAGGTGCCCCTCCCGCGGCAAAGACTCTCCAATGACGGCATGAGCAACTGGCGCCATCCTCAAGATCGGATTCTGCTAGAAGAGCAAATGAAGTTCGTCCAGAGATGAGGCCGAGATCGGGGCCTCGCCAGAAGGGAGCTTAGCCGGTGGCGGTGAGCCTGTGACAAGGCAAATAGGGAGACCCAGCGTGGGACGGCAAGTGCGCCGCTGCCCAAATCAGAGCAGACAACGAGCTTAGATCAATGCGACGACAAGCGAGTTTATTATGCGATGCTTTGCATCATCGGCGCAAAGAACGAGCTTGCATCAATGGTACCGCAGTTTATTTTCGATTTGGTGGTGATGCGCTTGATTAGAGTCAATTTCATGATCTTGTATTAGATTTGAGAACAATGATGTTTTTTAACAAGACTCTGCATTTACTGATTTTTTTATATGAATAAAAGTTCAGTTCACCATGACTTCAGATCACAATGTATTTGTGTCTTGATTCCCTATAATTTCAATACATGGAGCATTAGCTCAAATTCATGAAAGATCAAATTGCAGGACTCTATAAGCTGTATTTTATTTTATTTTTTTACCAGGATAAAATTGTTATTTTATTTTTGACTTAACACCGTTAAGTGACAAAAATAGATGAAAGGCCAGAAGAAAGAGAATTTTGGTTCGGGGCATACAGGTAAGTTAAAAAAAAAGCTATCAGAGCCGTACATGTAAAAAGCTCCAAAGAAAACGTGTTTAATAAGTGTTCTGTGTCTGGAGCCCTCCAGAGCCGCGGCGACTCGTACGGACGGAGCGACGCCTCGCCGCCAGCAAGGCATCCCGCCGTCTGAGTTCAGCTAGCTGCTTCTCAGCTAGTTTCCACTCGCCACACAAGCAAAGAGTGATATGAGAGAGGGATTATAACTCAAGAGTTCCCCGGGGAGGCCGCTAGGGTTCTTCTGCTCCCACTGTTTGTTAGTGTGAGAATCACCCTTTTCTCTCCCTTTTGATCAGATTTACACTTGCAGCAGTCTCTCACTCGCAATTCGGGCTGGTTAAAGGGCAAACATTGGGTTTGTTTCTCGGCCTTGGTTGCGATTTTGGGGGATTTGTCTGTGATATACAGTGTTCATCTGTTCAATTCGGCTAAAAATGTTCCTAATATCAGTCATTTATTGTTTGCAGATGACAGCATGTTGTTCTTCAAGGCAAAGGCATGTGCTGCGAAAGAGACTGAACTGATACTCACTGCTTATTGTGCTGCCCCAGGACAACGTATCAACTATGATAAATCATCTATTCTCTTCAGCAAGAAATGCAGTGAGAGCATAAAGGAGGCGGTGAAAGAAAAGGTTCATGTGTTTAATGAGGCACTTACTGAACGCTATTTGGGGCTACCTACTGACGTGGGAAGATCAAAAGGTGGTCGGTCTTTTCGTTTGTTGGTTTCAGTCAGGGCTTATCAGCTAGCCAACAATCTTTTCCTCTCACAATAAAACAGCATCAGCCGGGTTTATCAGCCTAGAAACTAACCAGCGAACAGGCTAGGTGTCTTCAAATAGCTTAAAGATCGAGTATGGAGTAAGGTAAAGGGTGGATGGAGCAAAGCCTATCAGTTGGTGGAAAAGAAGTCCTGATCAAAGCTGTAGCTCAAGCAGTTCCCACATATTCTATGGGTTGTTTCTGGTTGCCGAGAGGGCTTTGCCAAGCAATCAATGCAATGACTGGAAAATTTTGGTGGGGCAGCAAGGATGGCAAAAGGAAAACATGCTGGGGTCTTGGGAGAAGATGACACAACCAAAGTATCTTGGTGTTCTTGGATTTCAGGATATTGAAATGTTTAATCTGGCATTGCTTGCTCGACAAGCTTGGAGAATTATACAAAATTCAGAATCAGTAAGCACCAAAATTGCTGAAAGCAATATATTTTCCAAATGGGCAATTCCTGGATGCTGATTTAGGAAGTAAACCGTCTCGGCGCGTCTGGCCCCGCAGATGCGGGGGGCAGCGCCAGAAGGGAAGCAAAGGAGCCCGTAGATTAGATGTACCGCATGTCCGTCCACGCTTGAACTACTTTAACAGTCCTTTTCAGCGAAATAATAGTATTTTTTTTTCTCGTAACAAATCAGCATAAGCATTAGCATAAGCTAAATTTCAGCAAAACGAACAGGGGGCACAATCAAAGTAATGTTTGTATATTCCAGCAGCATTTGCTCGGAGTGTCTTTGCTGCCTGTAGGATGATACCGAGGAACATTATTCTATCACCACTCTACAAAGGTACAGGAGAAGCAGCACTTGCACTACTACGTACTGTTTTTTACGGTAACCAATATGTAGTCTTTGGCTCACTTGATCCTTTTGAACCAAACTTCCTAAGGCGTTTGATGCCCGTGCATATATATATTATATATACATGTCATGTATACACGGCAGGTACTTACTGTTTAATTAATTGGGCCTAGCACATCCATACTTTACTGATTAATCAAAGAAATTCTGAAGGTTCATATTTAATGCTAAGGGAAAGTAGGGTTAGTATCACATGAGAAACACAAAAGGAAGGTGCTCAATTTAAATAAGCCTGACCAGGACGTGATGTGTGCCTTCAAAAGGGCAAATGAATAAAATATACTAGTCCATTGGGTGCGCCATCGCGCGCGCATGCAAATCACCTGATTAAGGCGCAGATAAAAAACATATTTAATCTTTATATGGAAACAATATTAGGAGTTTAATGTAGATATGTTATGCACAAAAACCGAAAGACTTGAGCTTTTTTATATGGTGCCGGACACATCTACTATTCATACTTTTGAAATGATGGCACTTTCTATGCGTGGTAATAACGAATTTACAACGCAAAATTTAGAACAGCGTCTTAAAACCTCAAGGCCACACAAAGCACTGTAAGCTAACACTGGTGATTAAGAACTTCCACACTACTAAAAACCTGATAGCTGTAACATACCTGAAATCATTTCAATGTTACGAAGCTGAGTTAAAACCCTCGTGGCATACTGAAACCCGTAGAAAATGTGCGCACAAATTGGAGCATCAGTTTAGGAACAAAGAAAATAAATCTGTCAAAGTTTTTTAGAATAGGAAGGTAGGAGGAAGCAAGGACAACATAAACATAGCTGCGACAAGAGGTATGTTTGCTGTGTTCGAATCAATGAATTTGATGCTATATTTATACATCACAGTCACTGGGCTCAGCAATAGTAACATGATGTAGAACATTTGTTTGTCTTGCTTAAGCAGAACACTCGAGTGATATTGGTAAACTGAAGGACATTTTAGTACTCAATCTTGATAATTTACATGATCCTAATTAGGAGAGATGTAGAGGAAATCGCAAGGACTGTGAGGGGTGGTACCTTGAGGAGCACATGAAGCATCTGATGGCAATCCTAACACACACCTACCGCAATAGATAGGGAAAGATCAATAGAACTCAAATCAACAATGGAATATATGGAAGCAGATACTACAAACCTAAAACAAATCAATGCACCACAGATCGATCCCTTGGTGCGGCCACCCGCTCCCGGTGAGCCGCCACTCAAAAGCAAAATCATGGATCAAGAAACATTGACAAGGATTCTCAACTTCGATCGACATAAAAATATAGGAACAACGTGCGAGGAACCGACAGCTCCAAGAAGAACAGACAGAGCATTATATACAACCCGCGCCCACATGAACGAATTATGGAACGCGCGCGATGTCAGATTTGCTGCCGTAGGCCTCCTCATAAAAAGAAGGCAGGCTGCTCTGCCTTGGGTGGGACCCAGATCCGTAATAGGTGAGGGAGAGAAGAACCTGTAATAGGAAGACGAAGGAAGGGCCCACCGGCGACGGAGGTGGGGAGACTCCGTAGGGAGATGCTCGGGCGATGGCACAAGGAGACGCTCGTCGACGGGGGCGGCCACCGCCGGGGCCAGTTCTGCGCCGGTGCATCACCCGCGCCGAGGCCCGAGGCCCGGCCGATCCGGGACGGCCATCGATGG